AAATTTTATGTAAACAGCATAAAACTGTACGCCTCGTTCCGTCATTTTCTTTTTACAATGTTATATTTTCGAGATCGAGCCATGTTGATACATGTCGCCTCGGTCTACTGTTTTCACTGCTTTATAGAATCTATTTTAAAAAGATACCAGCATTTATTAATCTATATGTCTGGATGAGTAGATCAGGGGCAGCAAACTTTCTCTGGGGAGAGTCAGATGGTAAGTATTTTAGGCTTCGTGGGACAAACTCTCTGCTGTGACAGCTCCACTGAGTTATTCTAGCTGGAAAGCAACCTCGGATATGAAAACGAAAGGTTGTGTTTCAACAAAACTTGGCAAAAACAGGAAGGGGACCTGATCTGGGCTCTGGTCTGGTTCGCTGACCGCTGGTTTTGGTCATTTTCAAGCTTTTGCGAGTACGAATGCAGCTGGGTTGACCGTTGTCAGGCCTGTCTCCTTAGACACACGCACAAGGAATTCTCTAGAAAGCGGAACTGCTGTGTTATAGGGGATGCACACCTTCCAGCCGACTGGCGTTGCCGGCCGGTTCCCAAAGTGTTTGTACACAGAGTTCACACTCACGAAGTCCACTTGTCAGTGTCCTTCCAACTCTGCGGTTGTCAGACCTTTTCATCTTTTCCAATCTGCCGGGTGTGAAATGATACCGCACTATGATTTTAGTTGGCGTTTCTCTAGCATTTGGAAGTCGAGCACCTTTTCTCATTTACTGGTTATTCGGGTTTCCACTTTTTGTGAGCTCCCTGTTCGCGGCCTTTACCCGTTTCTCTTTAGGCTCCTCCCTTCCTTACTTACTCGTAGGCGTTCTCTGTACCTGCTCCATGCTCATTATTTGTTGATGACGAACTGCGTTTATCTTTGCCTGGTCTGTGGCTTGTGTTGTCCTTTTGTTTTTCCTGTTTGATGGACCACAGTTTCTAATTTGAATGAACTGTCCATCTGTTTATCTATGGTTTGACTTTCTGAGTCTTGGTTAAGAAGCTCTTTCCTAATAGAATATTCTCCTAATCTTCCAAACATTTCTCATTTGGCTTCTTATGTTCGTTTCACCCGGAATTCATTTTTGTGGTTGTAGGCAGTAGAAGAACTTCTTTTTTCTATAAAAGCAATCAGTCGCTTGGCTCTAATTGTTGACTAGTCCTTTCTCGGGTCACCAACCTAATGTAGGGGAGAAAAAAAAAATCCCTTTTCCTCCTTCTCTCCTTGGTTCTCAGCTGGGGCTCTGTAACAAAAAAATTAACAGGAGAAAAAGCACACAGATTTAGTTAAGTTTTATGTGACGTGGGAGCTTCAGAAGGAAACGGAGGCCCAGAGGGACAGTTAGAGCTCGGTGCTTTCATAGTAGGTTTGAAAACGAGTGGAAAGTCGTGGGAAAATATGATAGGACGAAAGGGTACGAACTCAGGGTGGTAAACTGGGGGGCGGGGGGACAGCAAAGCCTGTTCATTCAGATCCCTCTCTCTGTCTCTCGTCCTTGGAGATGAGGATGCTCCTTCCTCCAGGTACTGTGAGGGTCTTATGACCTGCTTCCTGCACCTGCCAGCCCGCAAACACCTTCGGTTTAAAGCATTCGATATGCCAAGGTGCCGTGTCTTGGGGGAGCATATCCTGAAGCCTTCGCCACGGTGCCATCTCTGTCACGTAAATAACATCATGTACCCATGAGTTTACTTTTGGACTCTGTTCCCTTAGTCTGTTTGTTTCTGGGCCAATACCGCACGTCTTAATTCCTGTACGTTTATACTAAGTCCTAATATTTAGAAGGGCAAGCCTCCTTCCCCCAGCTTCCCACATTGCCTTCTTTCTTCAAAATAGTCTTAAATAGTTTTGGCTGGTTGTTCTTCCATCTACACTCTAGGATAAATTTGTCGATTCCCCAAAATTCCCTTCGAGATTTTTGATTGGCATGACATGGAATTTATATATCACTATGGAGTATACTGACATCTTTACGAGATAGCGAATATTCTTATCCATGAAGATGGGATATAGCTCTCCTTTTTTTTTTATGTTTCAATACATACATTTAAAACAATTTTCTAAATGTTATAATTTTGTTCTATCGACCAATGTATAACTTATAAATTATGTTTTATAATTATGGTTTTATAATTTTCTTCATAAAAGTCTCACACTTCTTTTGTTCTATTTATTCCTTGAGTATATAATTTCTCTTGCTCTCTGTAAAGATACTATTTATTTATTTATTTTTCTTTTTTTACGCCTACAGCACCTGGTCTTCCTACGGGGTCTCCCATCCAAAAATGGTACTTTTTAAAATCATGTCGTTGCCAGTCGTTAGGAATACACTTTATACATTAATCTGAAATCCAGCAACTGTGATAAACTCTCTCAGTTCCAAAAAATGTATTAGTTCCAACATTCTCTTGGATTTTCACATAGATGACATATTATCTGTGATCTATGAGCGTTTTGTTTCTTCCTTTCCATCTTACACCTTTTACTAATCTTTTTGTTGTTGTTCTTAATGCCCGGGTTACGACCTGAATCCACGACATGACAGTAAAGGAGTGTTTCTCATTCAATCTTTAAGTGTGATTGATATTTGCTGTCGGTTTTTGGCAAATGCCCCCATCCAATTATGGAAGATCCTGTCTATTTCTGGTGAGTTATGATCCTTTACCCTGGTTTCTAAAACAGTTTTCATTAATATTTTATTATAGAAGTAAAATATGCTCAGAGAAACAGAAATCAAATAGACGAAAAGTAGAATGGCTCTTGCCAGACTCAGCCCTTCTCTTCAGAAAACCGTTGTTAATGTTTTGTCTTTCCTTCCCCCAATTTTCAATATACATACAAGCACATATTTTTATGTCTGTTTTTTCCCCACACACATAGATCACCCTGTGCATGCTCTTCTACAGTTTGCTTTTTTCTGGTAAAGTCTCTTGGACATTAGTCTATGTCAGTACACATCGGTCTGCTTCATTCTTTTTCATGGCCGCGCAGTATTCCACTGTATGGATGCCTGGGATTGCTTTACCCAATTCCTTACTAAGGTACAGTTAGGCCGTTTACTTATTCGTTTATTAGTCTGTTTGTTGGCTATCACAATGAACATCCTTGGACATACACCTCGGTGCATCTGAGCAGGTACATCCCGTAGGATCAACAGGAAAGTTCTCAGCTGGGAACCACATTGTCTAACCCCTGAACCCCTTTTCCCAAACGCCCTGCTCTTCGCTGAAGGAGACAGGAAGATCGTTCTTGCTTCAGTCAAGATCCGGGTCACGTGGGTCTTTGCATCTCCTTCTCTCCCTGGCAGGAAGACAAACCGGGGCACAGAGCAGACGGCCTATCTTCCGCACTTGTCCCGTGGACCCGTTGGTTCATCTTGGCCTGTCTTAGCCTCTGCAGACTTTGGACCTAATCGCGTACCTGGACTCGCAGTGTCTCCTGCCTCTTCCTCCTCTGTGGCCTGCCTCCTTGGATGCCTCGTACCCATAGGCTCCTCCCCAACCTATGGGACACCCTGGGTCTTGGACTTGGCTCTGTGATATCTGCTTTCTCTTCCTTAGGCCAAAGGACTCTAGACTCTCACCCCGTGTCTCATGCAGCTGCGCCATTTGTTTCTTCTTCCTGTAATAACTGACCCCCCTTTACCCCTTGGCCTGCCTGATCTTGGTCCCATGCCTTTGAAGGAGGTCAGAATATGCCACCTCCAAAACATGCCACTTTGACATAAGGATTATTTTGGGTTAAAAGCAACTGAGAAAAAAAAACAAACAAACAGATAAGGAAGGGCTCTTTGCCCTCCCCACTATCTGCCCAAAGCAGGACATAAACTCCCCTCATAAGGGTGTACCCCTCACCCTCATACTGGGAGAGCAACCCTTATCAGCAGAGATGGAGATGGTACCCAATTATCCTGCATAAACAAACGTTTCTCTAAACCCTACATGACCCTTCCCTACCATTAGTTTCCCCTCATATATTTACCTCCCTACAACGCGCTGCCCCTGGAAGCCCTTTTTCCTTTGTCCTCTGTGGCACCTTCCCACAATATGTCACTGTTTGTTCGAATGGTATATAAGCCTCCAATTGAAAAAGCGTGTTCACTTCTTTTCTGCGAAGTTCTGTGCACGTGAAAATAAAAACAAAATAGCTATGCCTTTTCGCCTATCGATGTGTCTTTTGTCGGTTTAATTTGCATGGCCCAGATGCGGAGTCTGACAGGGCAGAGGAAGAACTTTTCCTCGACCCTACACGTCCCATGTTCCACGCTCAGCCACAACCCGGTGCCATGGAGCACCCACGAAGTTCACTTCCTCCGTCGAGTGCACCCTCCAATATATTATCTTTCCTCCAGCCAGGGCGGTCTTTTAAAATGAAAATCAGATCCTGGTTTTTTTTCTTTTTAAAAAATCCTCTTATGGTTTCTCGACACACTTAGAAAAACAAACGGACGCCGCAGAGTGTCCTGCCGCGCGCTCCGCTCCCGGGGGGCCTTCGGGCTGCACCTTTGGCGGACCCCGCTCTTTGTCACTTCTTAGTTTTGAACGTGCGTCTCTCTCCGCAAGGCTCGGCTTCACCCCAACACCTCGCCCACTGAATGTGGGTGTTCGTCTTTATCTCGACACTTCCTCTCTTCCCTTATCGTGAAGTTATCATTCCCCTCCGCCAGCCTGTAATCGACGTGCCTTGAATTACCCATCCCCATAACACGGTGTCAACGAACAGGCCCCACCTTCCCAGAGGGCGTGGCAAAGTCCTGCCCATCAAACTCCCCCTCCGAACTTCGGCCCGTGACCCCTGTGGCCTTAGACTTTAGAACAACAACAAAATAACTGGAACAGGTTTATTTCAAAGGTGGCGCCCTGAATAGAATGTCCCTTAGCTGCCTGTCCTTCCCTGCCCACTCCCGCCCCTC